GTCGGAATATTTCTGAGGGAATTTTCGTCGCAACTTAAGTATCTCGACGAAATGTTCCAACAGACCAAACTTCCGTCGGAATCCAGCCTATTTCTAGTAGTGTATTTTTTTCACTTTTAGCTTCTTATATGAGATGATTAGTAAATTGAAGTTTAAATTAATAAATTTAGAAGTGGCCTATAATTTATTTTAAAAAATTAAATTATACAATAATAATGAATATAATGTATAATTTGAAACTATGATAATAGGAGACTTTTTCCAACATACTTATACGTCATTGACTCATTGGAATATGGTTACAAATTTTCTTGCAACCGATCTATTTCCGATAAAACAATTATTAGAAAACTACGTATCTTTGGTCAATTTTTAATTAAGATTAAAGATTTTAAGCAACGTTTCACCAGTTTTTGGTAAATAAAAATACGTTTCGCAGTTTTTTTTTCGTTGTAACTACTTTGTACATAAGAGTGAGGTAACCATGTGACGTTCAACGTGAGATACAACATATCCAAGGATATCTATTGTCCTCAAGTTAGCATGGTCTTTGTCCTCCCTCACGAGGCAAACTTAACTAATTCGCATTACAGTTTATACTCCCTCCGTTTATTTTTATTTGCAACTTTGGGGTAAATTGCGGTTCACAAGGTAAAAGTTAAGGGTCAAATATTAATGGGGTTAATTGAATGTGATTAAAGTGTTTGGAGAGAGAAAAGTTGGCCCACCACTAAGAAAAGTAGTGGGAAAATCTGTATCACTTTTGGAGGGATTGGATTTCCCCCCCAAATTTTCAGCCAAATTTTGATTTGTCTGAAATTTTGGGAAATTTCATTTCCCACCAAAATTTAAAATAAAAAACAGTGTACTTTCAAATTGTAATGCCTTATATAACAGCATTGCATGTCATATTTCAGAGGCAATCAAAAGCAGCCCCTCCATTGAAACAGCATTAAATGTTTTCTTGTTCACCCAAAAGATTAATATTGTTCATCCAAAAGATAATCTACGTTAAAAATTACACTTTGTCAGCCCATTATATACCCAAAAAATTCCTACACTTAAGTTAAAACTACCCAACCAAAACCCATACACCTTCATAGGAAGCTGCATCTCGTTCTTCCTTCATCTTGCTCCCAAAAACACAGCAGCCACCGTTAAACCAATCAGCTGAAGCTAAGGAAATAAACAAGGTCAGACAAACATGGCAGATGCATATGAACCTATGCACTTCGATGTGGATCAAATTGACAGAAGAAGAAGAGGCAGAATTATACTACGATTACGCAGAAACTATGCAAGATCTAGGCATGGATTACTACGACTCTGAAGATGATATCATGCAACACACACAAGGAGAAGACCAAGGCCAGCAAAACACTGAACACACACAAGCAGAGGATGGTGTCCAGGACATGGAACAACCCAACCACCATGGGACTCACCACAGACAAAGAAAGCAACTGACAAAGAAGCAGAGAAGGGAAATTGTGGACTCAATGTTGGTAAACATGCAGCAAGGGAACTTACCAAGAGGTCACTTAAGGCAATTATCAGTTACTTTCAATGTGCACAAATCAACTATCACAAGAATATTTGCAGACATAAAGAAACAGATGGCAAGGGCAGTTTGATTGATGTCAGAACAAAAAAATTTGGCAAAGTAGGCAGAAAGGGGAAGGAATTTTCTGATGCATTCCTACAATTAGTCCCTTTGCATTTAAGGCAGACAAAAAGGATTTATGCAGCAGCATTAAAAATCTCCCATTCGAGTCTTCACAATTTGAAGATAAAGGGAAGGTTAAGAACACACACAAGAACCAACAAGCCAGCATTGTCATCAGACCACAAGGTTGCAAGGCTGAAATGGATCTTATCACACATAAATCCAGTGGCAAGTAATGAGGACCCAACATTTGTTGATATGAACCATGTCATACACATGGATGAAAAATGGTTCTATCTGAACCCTGACAAGAGGAGGTTTTACCTCCTACCTAGTGAGGAAGATCCATATAGGCTAATACAGTCCAGAAGATTCAAACTCAAAGCAATGTTTATGGGCTTAATTGGGAAGCCATTGTATGACACAGATGGGGGACTACTTCATGATGGGAAATATGGAATGTTCCCATTCACAGCCAAACAATTAGCCAAGAAATCAAGTAAAAACAGAGTAGCAGGAACATGGGAAACAAAAGCAATACAGAATGTAAACAAATTGGCCATTAGAGACATGGTTGTGGTCAATGTCATTCTAGCAATTATTTCAAAGTGGCCTGCCAGTCAGCCAAAATATATTGTAATCCAATGGGACAATGCAAGGCCTCACCAAGTTCCTACTGATGCAGAGTTTATGGCAGCAACAAAAGCTCATGGATTTTACATTCAATTTGTTTTCCAACCAGCACAGTCCCTAGATTTGAATGTGCTAGACTTAGGGTTGTTTAGGTCAATTCAATCATTGCAATATCAGTCTTTTCCTAACAACCTAGATGAGTTGGTTACAAAAGTGCAAGAATCTTATGAGGCATTCAAGCCTCAAGTGAACAAGTACATTTGGCTGAGTTTGCAAAAGTGCATGATTGAGATCCTTAAGGTACAAGGTGGGAACAATTACAAAATACCCCACATGAACAAGAAAAAACTGGAAAACCTTGGAGAGTTGCCAGATCATGTACCAGTGCAGAAGGAAATTGTTTTGGAGGCAGTGGAGTACCTAGACACTATGTTTAGGCCAATAAATAAGGGGACTGAACAGGGAACAGAAGAAACTGAGGTATATGCAGACTGAGGGACTCATCACATCAAAGTAGAAACACATAGACTGCCACACATAACCACTTACAATTGATATGGTAATTTTTTTTCTGTTTTGTAGGTGGTTAGGTGTATTTTGATGAATACAGTGATCAAACATGCTAGGCAGTCTAATGTAAAGTACTTTTGTAACCACATGTTCAATGGAATAGAAATTGTTATCAGTCTGATTTTATGTTGGCACTCAATCCATCAGAAGTTTTTTTTTTCCATTTTTCAATAAATCACTAACCCACATGGTTACCTCAACAAGAACAGCATAAAGCACATCACTGGAGCAAGACACATGTGGGTTGGGAAGGTCAACAGAGTCCCTTCCTCATTTGGATTTGGACAGAGTACACAACAAAGACAAATAGGGGACTGAATACAAGTCATGCTACCACATAAGGGACTCTCATGTGTTCTCTACTAAATTGATCATTGAGAACACTTGAAGGTATGACCAGGGGACCTTTAAAAATTTTATTCACACATTAGCCTCATCATTCATCAATCAAACAGCCATATGCACCAAATGCCATTTACCAACAACCAAACACTTCCTCATCATTCATCAATCAAACAGCCATATGCACCAAATGCCATTTACCAACAACCAAACACTTCCTCATCATTCATCAATCAAACAGCCATATGCACCAATGCCATTTATCAACAACCAAACACTTCCTCATCATTCATCAATCAAACAACCATATGCATACATGCCATTTACCAACAACCAAACACTTCCTCATCATTCATCAATCAAACAACCATATGCATACATGATACATAGTCCAAAACAGCAGACATATCCAACCAGGACAACATAACAGGGTCTCACAAATATGCAACCAAGCCAACATTACTCCAGAGCAGCGAATACAACAGAGCAGGAAATCACAAATAAGCAACCAAGGCAACATGCATCCAACTCAACGCATACAACAGAGCAAGATATCACAAATAAACTACCAAGCAAATATGCATCCAGATCTACTCACAAAATCCCACAACACCAACCAAATACCAAGACAAATCAACAGTATATCCACAAAATGAAATAAAGGGACTCCTTTTTATAAGAAAATTAAAACAATTAGGGTTAGGAATTGTTACGGAAGGGTCACTTGGAGGGTTGAACCCTAGGGTTCATCCGCCTTGCACCGTGCTTGTTCACAGGAGGGCCAACTACTTCACCGTCGTTAGCCATGTCAGCCTCCTCATCAGAAGAAAGCACAACGAGCTCCTTATCTTTGAACCCTCGCATACGCCGCATAGCCACCAAGGCCGCCTTCCTTTTTGTCCTAATCTTCACCGGAGGCCTGAAAGGGTTAGATCTGGGCTTTGGGATGGGCACAGCACTTCCCTCACCACTTTCGCACTTCGGATCTACACAAACACCACCAAAATCGAGCTTTTGTATCCCACGGGACTCTCCTTCACCCTCTGCCGTTTTTTTTTTTCTCATCCTCATCCAGGCTTTTTAGAACTTCCCCCAAAGCCTTGAATGTACTCGGAGAACAGCAGCTTGGCCCATCTTCATGCTCGGACAGTCGACGGGGAAAATCTTCACCACTCGCGATATCTGTAATCAGGTTCTTGATAAAAGTTGCCTCGCTATGGTCATCGGTTGCAATATAGGCGTCGCGAAGTGGATCTAGGTTAACCATGGTAGTGGGGGACTCGGTTTATCGAAGTAGTGAGGAGTGAATCTGACTTTTGAGAAGGAAGAATCGAAAGAATTGCAAAGGCGAAGGAGAGAGGAAGACGAAGAACCAGATCTAGGGTTCTTCAGAACAATCCAGATCAGTTTAATATTCTCAAACCCCCTCAATTAAATGTGGTGGTTGGGAATGTGAGTGGGTTAGGGGAAATAAATGGAGGGAGTAGTTAGTTAAGGTTAATTTAGTTGTTTGTTGTATAATATGGGATTAAGGTTAATTAGAGGTACATTTAAAAAAATAAGAAATTTAAAGTAAGGGTAAAATAGTAATTTTTAGGATTTTTGTTTACCTAAAATGGAAATAAAACGGAGGGAGTACATCCTAATTTTTAAGACCGCCTAAATTATGTGAGTATTTATGAACCGCCAATTCTATACTTCTATATATGTACTCTTATATAAAATTTGTAGCACGTAAAGCAATTGTACTCACTCTTATACATAAATTACCTCCCTTAAATCTCCTACAATGGTAAGTCAAGTTCAAAGTCGCCGTTGTGGCTCACAAATCTTACAAACCATCAATGCGCCGCTCCTAGTGGTGTGGTCCTTGATCCGCCAGTTTGACTGGCCCCATGTATTTAAGAAACTCGTCCAAACTTGCACCCTAGTATCTGGGGCTGGAGAAGTCGGATCAGTTCGCCAGGTATTTTTTGGATCAGGTTTGCCAGGCAAAACTAGTATAGAAAGGCTTGAGAGAATGGACGAGGAGCAACATATAAATGTGTATCGAGTAATTGATGGGGATCACAAGCTAGTCACATTTCACGTCACCACCTCACTACACGAGGTGGTAGAGAATGGGAATGGAAATAAAACGACGTTGGTTGTTGAGTCTTATACAGTGGACGTACCCAATGATAGTAACGAGAAGGACACATGCTTGTTTGCTAATACTATAATTGAGCTTAATCTCAAGAATCTGGCTATTGTTGTGGAGAAAATGGTTTGTGGTAAAAAAGTGGATCAAGACTTCAAGAGAGAAATTCCACTTGACAGCCTTTGGCAAATGTAGCAAAAATTTACTACCTTTTATGTCATCGTGCATTCAAAAGAAAAATTTACAATGAAGTCTTCAAAAGACACAAAAACAAAAGTCAACAAGCTTGTTTTAGAATGGAGGAAACAATAAAACTACGATAGTTTATGTTATGTATTGTTGTTTTGCAATTTTGCATTGTATTTGATATATTTGATATTTTCATGTTCGATTATAGAATACTTCGTATATTGGAGCTTGATAGTGGCTCTCCCTATCTCAGTTGCAGGCCTCTGGTCTAGTGATTAAATTTCATGGGCCTAATTTGATGGCACTATATAGATTTTTAGTTTTTCTATATAGACATTAGCACAAGCCCATAGGCCATAAGTAACTAAAAATGTTACATATACAAAGTATAATTTACAAAGTACAGAGTAAGACCCTGTTTACTTCACTTTAAAAAAAAAATATTAAGTAAAATTTTTTCAGTAAAATAAGTTCAATTCACTAAAAATAATTTCAGTTCAGTAAAAATAAGTTCAGTTCAGTATAATTCAGTATCTTTAAAGAAGAAATATAATAGAAAATCAGTAAAAATAATTTCACTTCAGCAAAAATAATTTTAGTTCAGTAAAATTAATTTCAGTTCAGTAAAAATAATTTAACTTCAGCAAAAACAATTTCAGTTCAGTAAAAATAATTTTAGTTCAGTAAAAATAATTTTAGTTTAGCAAAAATAAGGTGAAGTGAACAGGGCCTAAAAGGGCTTTCATCATGAAATTAAGGTCATGCTTAATTCACTTTATTTTTACTTATTCCAGATTAGAATAGAAAAAATAAATTCAAATTAGATCACATTAGCTCAAATCAAATCAGATTAGATCAGAAAAAATAAGTTTAGATCAGATAAATTCTACCATACTTTATCGTTTTATATGTGATTTTTTTTTATTTTAATTCCGTAATATCATTAAAATACACATTATTACAAATTTAACAAAACCAAACTTGATGTATTTTTCTTTATAGATTATCATACACATTAGGTCAAAGTTTGGTTAAATTAGACAATTAGATCAGATAAGCAAAAATAAGGTGGACTAAACAAGGATTGTTTGATTATTCCGTACTAGTTTTGATTTTAGTCGGTTTTGATTTTTTTTTTTTTAGATAGTCAGTTTTGATTTTACCACCTTTCAGTTTATTTATTTATTTATCTTTAGTTTTTACCCTTTCTGTTTTGGGTTTTTCTAAGCTATGCCCCTAAGGTAGTCGAGTTTCTAAGGTGTACCCATGCTTTTTGAAATTTTTAAGTTGTGCCCCTCAACTCACTACCATTAATGAATGGTACCTTCCTTGGGACTTCCACGTCAGCTAAAGTTAACTATAAATTTAATAAAAAGATGATAAAAGGTAAGGAAATGATAGGAGAAAGAAATCTTAGCCATCGCAACCCTAATAACGAAAACTGAAGCCACGAAATCACACTTTCAATTAACTTTTAAACAACTAATAAGGGTACATTTTAGTATTGATAAGCAGTTGAAGGAGGGCACGGCTTAGAAACTTGAAAAAGCAAGGGTACACCTTAGAAACTCGACTACCTTAGGGGTATAGCTTAAAAAAACCCTTCTTTTTTTCATTCAAAAGTTTCATGTTTCAGTGTTTTTTTGGCCACACCGTGCGGCAAGCTAACACACACCAAAATAATGACCGGGTAACCCCTCATCGACCGAGTACCCCCTCATCGAACAAATAACCCCTGACCGAGTAACTCTGGCCACACAACCCCTAACAGAGTAATCCCTGATTGACCGAGTAACCCCTAACTGACCGATTAACCCCTAACCGAGTAACCTTGGCAACACAACCCCTAACCGAGTAATCCTTGATCGACTAAGTAACCCCTAACTGACCGATTAACCCCTAATTGAATAACCTTGGCAACATAACCCCTGACCGAGTAACCCCTGATTGACCGAGTAAACCCTGACGGGGTAACTTTGGCTACACTGTGTGGCCAACCATATATGAAAATTTGTGTTCATGTTTACCATTAGTTAACAAAATCTTGCCAAATTATTATCCTAGTTGGGCTAATTGATGATTTTTGTACGATTTTTCTTTTTTCACCTTATATTATTGGATGTTTTAGATTGCAAATCCAAATTCAACAAAAAGCAAAATTAGGTACATAATTTACAATATGAATTTTTTTGTCATTTTCCGCCTATTAAATTTCTTTCAAGGGATGTCAATCTAGGCTTCTTTTGAACTTATTTTATAATTCAATTCTATTTATGTTATTTCAATTCAGTTTAGGTCAATGCAATTCAATTTGATTTAGTTTAACTTAGATCGTTTCATTTCATTTAAAGTCATTTCACTTTAGCAAAAAAGAATAGGTCTTAAACAAGTGCGGTTGTTCAGATTGAGTTTTGAAAATTAGCAACAGAAAAAAAAAATGCAACCTAAAATACTGACAACAGTGACAAGGCAGCTCAATATTTTAAAGCAAATTACGAATACTTACGAATTTAATAAGAGCATACTAACAAAATCCATGAATCTAATACAGAAACAAAACTGAACAATTCAAATGTTCACCAAATCAAATCAAAACAACAATATAATCAATATCAACCATTTAGTTCGAATCCAAACTGAGTCTTCCCAAATTACAAATGGGTACCAATAAACCAATCCATCATCTTCTTTTCTACTCTCTCTTCCTCTTCCCATGCCTCTGTTGGACCGGGCTTCCGGTTCAGCACTCCATTTCCGGGTTCGAACCGGAAGACCTTCGATCATTGAGCCGTGTGAAGGAGCTCTTCCAACAATGGAGGAATGAACATGGAATGCCTTATGATCAAGTGGAGGAGTCGATGAGAAGATTCGAGAACTTTGAGCGGAATTTGAAGTTTGTTGTTGAGAATAATTTGAACCGGACCGGGTTTACGGTCGGGTTGAACCGTTTTAGTGATTTGAGTTATGAGGAGTTTAGAGAGAGGTATTTGGGTAAGGTGAAGAGTCCAATTCGGTTGGGTCAATGGGGGGATACGCGCGAGAGTTTGGTGTTGAGTTGCGACGCGCCACCGTCTTTGGATTGGAGGGAGATGGGGGTGGTGACTCCGGTTAAGGATCAAGGTGTTTGTGGTAAGCAAGTCGTATACTCAGTTTTTCATTTTTTTTTTTACAGGATGTGCTTGCCTGATGTGTTTTTTTTTTTAAAAAAAAAAAATACTTGAAACTCAAAAATTGATTAGTTATGATTAGTTATTTACAAATGGTAAAATAAAAAGGTTGACTATATATAAGAGTAATAATTACTTAATCTTTTGCTCTTAATTTTAATAATCGCGTTTTCAAATAGTGTGTCTATGAGACTATGAAGTGTGTAGTGTGTTAGTAACTTAGTATAGTTGCAACAACTTGAATAACAAACTTGCTAATTAAGGGTATAAATGGGCTGAGACCCTCAATAATTTTCGGTTGTTGGCAGTAGCTTGTTAATTTAACAAATGAGCTGAGTTTATACAGTTTTTGGACCTCATTTAATAAATGAACTTGAACATAAATACATGTTAATGAACAACTCATTTGTTTATGCTCATGAACAACCTAATAATTATTGTTCATGATCAATCTCGTTTACAAGAAAAGCTCATTGCCCGTTTTATAAAGTTATTGAATTAATTCACCATTGATATATTAATAAAAACTAGTTGGGTTATCAAACAAAATGGCAGACTTTATGATTATTTGTACAAGAACTTGTTTGATAGAAAAACTTTTCATGAACTTACAATCTTCCAACCGTATAGAGAAGCTCAGTTGAACGCTTGCTCAGACTTGCCAAATTAAAATGAATATAAATATGATCAGCCAAAAAGAGTTAAACACATCTTGGCTCATTCTAATTCATATTGCTAATGCACAAGCTTAGTTTGACCATAAATACTTAGTTGTCTGACTGTGTGATAGTGTGGTGATTCGTGAACTTTTGAGCTACTCTGCAGCTTTAAAACATCAATCCATGAAAAGTAGGTTTAGCTGAGATCATGGACATACATAATTCATACACATTCAAGTTCTGCCTTATAATTTAATAGCTTCTTATTATTTTGTAGTTCAATATTTTAAACTTGTTAGTGTTGACTTAGTGAAATCCAAGATCTTAATTAGCACATTAGTTACTGAAGTTTACATGGGATGGTATTCATTATGGTGATTTGCTAGAAAACATTTAATTTCAAACCTGTCTTCGAAGTGTTACATTAGTGCAATGAACTTTAATCTATATCGATAGGTTCTAAATCAACACAAAGTATTAAACTATCTGTCAAAAAATGACTGCCCTTTTTGTGCCTTTCAATTCTAACTCAAGGCATATAGTTTGCCCGGGAATAAATGCAAGGAGTCTCGGATGTGGAATAACCTATGCTTTTTAGAATAGACAAATACCTGATAAAGTCTATTGTTTCGCATAAGGGGTAAAACAACATACAAAGTATACTAGGTACTACAAATTCCATCGAATTTTAAGTTGTGCAAGTATAGTAATATTGACAGAAAAGGTATTTATTGTAATTCAGTGATTACATTACAAACCCTGTGAGGGCTGTGACTCGTGCATACAGGAAGCAGCTGGGCATTCTCTTCTATTGGTTCCATTGAAGGAATCAACGCGATCAATAAGAAAGAACTCATCAGCCTCTCAGAGCAGGAGCTTGTAGATTGTGACAAGGGTGATGATGGCTGTGATGGGGGTTACATGGGGAATGCGTTCAAGTGGGTCATAAACAATGGTGGTATTGGTGGTGAAGCTAATTATCCTTACAGTGGAAGTGGTGGTACCTGTACTTCCAACAAGGTCCTACTCAGTTTTCTTCATGTTCATGAGATGTTAATGTCAATGATGTGAGTTGTTTGCTAGCAAGCTATATTACTCGGAGTTGGTTACCCATGTCAGACATGAGTATCTGTCTAAGGGTCAGACTCTCTATCTGATTAGAAGTTTGAAGGATTTTAGTCCCAAATGAAGTATATCATGTCCATACCCATGTTGAAGGGATCCAACATGAGTATGTGACGTGAAATTTAGAGTTCAGCTTAGCTAACAAATGATCAGTTGCCTGCTAAGCATGTCTTAACTCAATTTTCTTGTTTCTCAGATGGAAAATAAGATTGTAAACATTAATGGCTATGGACATGTGGAAGAAACAGAGACCGCTCTCCTGTGTGCAACTGTAAGACAGCCTATTAGTGTTGGCATAGATGGATCCTCTATTGACTTTCAGCTATATACTGGAGTAAGTATATACTATCATCTATGACTGATTTTATACATATTGATGTATGGTTGTAAGTATAATGTTAAAAGAGTCATGTTTTTTCTGCATATTTCCATCTTTTTTGTATGTTACCAAATATGTGGGTGACAGTTCAGAATGCAGATATATATTTTGATGAAAAACATGAATTTGAACAAAATTCCTGTTCAACAGTTCAACTTCAATCTACCCAACATCGAAGTAGTTATCCTGTATTTGGTTCTCTAAATAACTACATATATGCTGGAACCTCGATATGCTGATTGATATTATGCTTATTCTTTAGAATTTCATCTTCTTGTTATCAGATTTTAAGTCCAATTTAGTGCATTGAAAAATAAAAGTAACTAGGTCTCAGTATCTCTCTTTCACACTTTGTTGGTTTGTTCTTATCTAAATTCTGATCTGTTAACATTGGAATATTAGTTGCTGAAAGCTTGTTCCATATGCTCTGAGTAGGGAATTTATGATGGTGCTTGCTCGAGCAATCCAGATGACATCAATCATGCTGTTCTGATAGTTGGCTACGGCTCTGAAGGAAACAAGGATTATTGGATAGTGAAGAACTCTTGGGCACTAGCTGGGGAATGAACGGCTACGTATACATAAGAAGGAACACTGACTTACCATACGGAGTTTGTGGAATCAATGCCTTAGCTTCATATCCTTCCCAGACAACTTTATTAGCTTCATCTCCTTACCCTTCTCCATCTTCTGATTCTTCTCCAACACTGCCTCCTCCACTACCTTCCCCACCTCATCCGCAGCCTTCCCCTCCTCCTGCCAATCCTCCATCTTCCCAATCACCGCCTCCCACTGCCTTCCCCACTTCCTCCCACACCTATTCCATCTCCTACAACACCGCCTCCTCTGCTGCCTTCCCCTCCTCCCACACCAACTCCATCTCCTCCAGTACCACCTCCTCTGCAGCCTTCCCCTCCTCCCGCTTCTCCTCCATCATCAACATCACCACCCCCACCACCACCATCTCATCCTCCTCCACATCCTTCCCCTCCCCCACCTCCGTCACCTAGTAAATGTGGAGATTTCTCTTACTGTCTGCCAGGACAGACTTGCTGTTGCCTATATGAATCTTTTGGATTTTGTCTGATACAAGGTTGCTGTGACTACACCAATGCTGTTTGCTGCCCTGAATCAGACTACTGTTGCCCTCATGAATATCCCATCTGTGATGTTTATGGTGGATTATGCCTCAAGGTATTTCAACTTAATGTTTAAAATTTTACAAGTATGAAAACATGCAAGAATTTTTATGAGTTTTACCTGTGCTTTGAGATTTTTCAGGGTAAACCCCATTTTGGAGGTGCCTCCTCAAAACAGTCATTTTCTTGTTCTTGTAGTCTCTTTTTGTATATGGTACTATATAGGGGGGGGAGCATTTTTTTTTTACAAAGCACCCCTAAAACATTGGATTATTTTAAAACAATAAAAAAAAAAAAAAAAGTGATTAATTCCAGATTTTTGATGAAACGTGGGATTATACATCATCTCAGTTATTATGCCTAAAAAGTTTTTCTTATCCATTTTTCTACAATATCACCAAAAAAAAAAAAAAAAAAGTTTTTTCTTTGCATACTCCTTTAAAGTGTTAAGTTTCAAAGCTCTTGTCCTTCTCGATCCTCAATCTTTCTTACCTTAATGTTGTCTAGAAATTTGATGACCACCTTGGTGCTGCATTGATGAGAAAGAAGTGGGCAAAGCTCACATTACCCTGGAGTAAACCTGAAGAAAATACAGAAATGACTTATCAGCCACTCAAATGGAGGATGAATGGGTTTGCAGCAGTGTGATGATCTTAATGATTATGCCTTTTAATGTTGTTCAAGGTAAAGGTTGCTCATCTTCTTCAATCTGCTAAACATCCGTACATGTTAACAATTGTTGATCATTGTCTCAACTTCTGCCTCTACTTGTTTTAACACGGCAATATCATTGTATGTCATTCAGTCATTCTTCTTTAGAAATAAGTTGAGAAGATTTGCATCAAACATGCATGTAAAAAGAAAATAAGGGTGTTGAGTGAATGATGTAAACTCATATTCATGCTCCACTGTTAGTATGCTTTGTAACATAATAATTTTATGTGCAGCAATTATTTTTCTATGTAAAAGTTTCTTTTCGTTGTAAAGACAAAATTATCTTTTGTTTTTACCATTTTTTTTTTTTTTTTTGGTAACAGAAATACATTGACGTATTACAGCGTTCAGAGATTGTAGGGGTTAACAGTCTTAACACAGTTATGGAGACACCCATACTTCCACACACGTTAGTAGACTGTAATAATATGGGATGTAGCTACCTTACCACCGTTTTTATGTCCATGGGCAAAAGTACAGTTATGAAAAGAAGACTCAGAAGAAAGGATATCCTAAGTTATCAAACACAAATACAAGTTTTGGAACTTTCTTCTTCAATAAGGCGATAAGTTATTAAGTTATAATAACTCACTACTTACTAATATAACATCACCCATGATTTGCTGTCTACCCATTAAGATTAAAAGCTTTGTGTCAAACTCATGCCCCACGCCCTCACAAGCGTTGAACGGGTCATTGTACGTTGGAATACATCATAGCCTAGGGGGCAGGGTGGCGGCGGGTGCCCATGGGTTGCCAGCGTATTGCCTTTTGGACACCGGATTGTGTGACGTGCTCTTGTCTTTTGGTGGCAAGGGCGCAAGTCTTGTGTGGAAATGCAACTTGTGAGCACGAAGCAATACAAGTAGCCAGCATAAGCCCCAATATATCACCAACACTTTGTCGTCAATAGATATAGGACCATAGTTATCAGAATCGGGATTCTACTTTGAATCGATGAGTGGGGTAGAATCGAATCGGTAAAATCGAATCGTAGAATTGTACGATTCTACAAAATTGTAAAATTGGGCTTCAAAATGTAACTAATGACTACATACATAATTTTCAAGCAATGAGAATGATAAAAATATATATATTTTTGATAACATAATATCGACAATACAAACATAAAATAGTTTTAGAAGTAATTTCGCACGCGCATAACTCAAATAATACACTATAAACTATTTATAAAGTCAGATTATTGGTACACATTCTTAACCACGAGAGTACGAGACAATTGTTGTTAAATTATGAAAAAACAAATAACGTTGTTGACTCGTAAAATTGTTTCTCCTAATAGAAAATCCAATGATAATAGAAAACTAAGTGTCAAGTTAGTTCATTTTAATGAGATAGCTAAAGAATGACAATTACAACAAACTCATGTTATAAAAGTGTTTCTTATATGCTCAAAGGTGAGTGCATAAGACTCGTGAATACATTCTTATGCTCACAAAATTTAAATGGTTGGTTAGAATTTTAAAAATTATTTAAATTGATGTTTCATCAGCTCTATTATGACTTATATTGAATAATATATAAGTCATTGACCAAAGTTAGGCTCAACTATGACACCCTTACACTCTTTAAGCTATAACATAAAATATATAAATGATATAGGTACGGGACCAATTTTATTAGAAAGTAGACCTCAAGAGCTTTCCAACGATATATTATAAGCCCAATTCCGACTTCGCAATCAATAGTTATGGGTTTAAAAAAATCAGACTTTTTACATGAGTGGAATCGTTAGAATCAGTATAAAATTGTAGAAACGGTACCGATTCCACCGATTCTATGCGATTCTACAACATAGCAATTCTACCAACGATTTACATCGTTTAGGTGGATTGGGATCGTAGAATCGTACGATTATATGATCCAAATCGCGATTTTAATAACATTGTATAGGACTGTCCCTGAGATTACTCCCAACCAAGTGTTGTCTCGTTTTCATGTTTGTATGTTGTTAAACTATTATAGATACTGTGTCATTGCATAGCACCCCAAACTCACTTAAATACTTATACAAATTCTTATATGTGGCTGGCCACACGGTGTTACTTCGTTATTGTTATAGGGGTTACTCGGGCAGTTTTACAGGGGTTACTTTGTCAGTGTTATAAAGGTTATAAAGGTTACTCGATTAGTATTATAGGGATTACTCGGTCAATGTTATAGAGGTTACTTCATTATTTTACAAGCGGACATATGGTGTGGTCAGCCGCACACAAGACTCGTGATTCTAACGATGTGATGTAATTGTCAAATGTCAATTTGGTCTTGTAAAATGTGATTCCACTCCTGTAATTGTTAAAAATAGGGTAATGAAACTCGTGATTTGGTCTTGCTTGTACCTGCCTTAACTAGCTCATCTGTCGCAAGCCCAAATTACCTGGATTGCATTGCCAAGATAGGTATGCCTGTTGAAGATTCAAATGCTCATTTGTTTTGCTTTGTGTTCCCAAGACCCTTTTTGCACATGGCTTGCACCTTTGCTAATGGGAGGCAAGAGTGGGACATATTATTCAATAAAAATGCTCGGAACGTGACACAGTGGCACCTAAAGAACTTTAATTTGGTTGGTCTTTTATCTTTCCATTCGTAATATAATATCGGGCCGCTTGGAGGCTCAAAAGGGCTCCAGATGGAATTATATATGCCGACACCCAAGTGTAGGATAATATACCTACACCCCCATCCACCCACCTATCAAATAAAGTAATTTTTGAAAAGAAAAAAAATTAGATTATAAATTATCAACTTCATCTTACTGTTTCTCTCTCAAAAATTCCATCCTCCCTTTTCTCTCTCCAAAAACCTTCATCCTTCATTTTCTCAGAATTCTTCATCCTCTTTATTTTCTCTCTCTAAAAACCCTCATGCTCTCCATAATCTCTCTCTAAAAACCTTCATTTTTTTCTTTTAAGGAGCTTCATCATAATCTATTCACGTCTCCACTTACCGAAACTTCATTGTCGACGCAAATTCATTGATGAGGTACTAAATTCTCTCTTCTTATTCCAATTCAACAATGTGATGTAATTGTTAAATGTCAATTTCATTACCCTACTTTTTTTTCCCCAAATTGATTGTCAAAGTATAGAAGAAAATCTTAAAGTTTTGGTTGAATTATATAAATGTTTGATATACTTTAGTTTTATTTTCTAGATCTAAAAATTTGGTAAGAAGTGATATTATTATGGTTGAATTAAGTTAGATTTGGAATTTTCTAGTTTTTGTTGAATTAAATTATATTGTGTTATCATATTATAAGATTGTTAGACAAGAAAGTTGAAAACAATGTACAACTAGGTTAGCTCTCGTGCCATGCACGATAATTTTAACTATTTATCATTTGTTTAACACTACATACAATTATAAAAATTTAAATTTTACAAAATAAGATGCTTATTTTGTAATCACAAAATATAAAGAAAATTATACTTCCTCCGTTTTCATTTGATAATCCCATATGGAAGCTATCACACAAAATAAGAAAAAAATAATATTTGGAATCGAACATTAATGTAGAAAAACAATTCATAATTAGTTTTGCCTTATTTAATTTAATTTTTTTTTTGGGAAAGCATCAGCCATAATTGCATAATATAAGGGAGGGATTTTCTTACTTTGAGTCATGTCATCAATCAACAATCAATTAATTTAACCAATCAAAATTTATTATGTATAAAATAGGAAACAAAAACAAAGTTAAAAATTGAATGCATTCAATATGGGTAGATATTTTTTAAACGCCCAAAATAGTATATGGGACTAACAAATAGAAACGGAGGGGGTATCATACTAAAGAAAACACAGAGAGTATTAAAGTTAAAAAAAAATATTAAAAAACCAGAGGGAGTATTACCTACACAAATAGAAATTTGGATTACATCACAAAGTTAAAGATAGGAAAAAAAAATATTACACAGTAGTAAATTAAAGAATAACATTTTGATTGGATGTGTATAAATGGAATATATATATCAAATAGAAAGGGAATATTGTTATATAGTATTTCTCTAAGAAATTTGGCAAAAAAAAAAATAAAAATCTTTCGAGGGAAATTTTTCTGTCAGGAGATGACACATGTCATCCTTGATTTCGCCTTTAGTATATAGTTATACATTATAAATAAATAGATATAAGACATAGATAAGGGAAATAAATTAAAAAAATTATGTACTCCATATATTGGAAGCGAAAATTGGCAAGTCAAAATCACAATTGAAGTAACACTTGCTTAATCAGAAAATAATATTGCTAATATTATGTAACTATCTTTAATATGATACTTAAGCTTGCGTCATAAGTCATAACAAAAGAATTTTTTTTTTCTTAAAAAAGAAAAAATTAACCTAACTAAATTATTTTTTTACAAATAATATTTTTTTCATGTAAAGTGGAAATTGCACACATTATATTTTAGCTGACAAAATCACTAGTTAAAATATAAGGATTTTATAATAAATAAGATATTACATGAAAATATTAAGTTTTTGTTACAAATTAAAATGGTAACATTAAAGTTAACTTATTTTGTGCCTATAAAGTTAGAATTATATTTATAGGTATTTACACACACACACGAAAAAAAAAAAAAAAAAAAAACCCTAACGACACACCAAAAGATGACACTTGTCATTGCTGGTGTGTCTTTTAGTATAAAGTTACTGATAATGATTGCTGTAATTTTCTGTTATTTCGTAGGATTAATACGAATTGTCTTTTTGATAAAATTTCCTTCTTATTTTGGTAGATAAAGTTACTGATAATGATTGCTGTAATTTTCTGTTATTTCGTAGGATTAATACGAATTGTCTTTTTGATAAAATTTCCTTCTTATTTTGGTAGATGTTCATTTTCAGTTTGATAGATGTTCATTTATTATATAAATATATATGGTTATTTACGTATAATAGATTATCATTAAATTTTTCATATAAAGGTCATTTCTAAATACTTCGTTATTCTTTTATTTATTTACAAGGAATTTCAGTATCTTGAAATATATTTTATTTTAAGGAGAATGTTAATTGAATTTTGATACATGTTCATACTACTCATTTGGATACATGGTAAAAAAACATATTGACAGTTATTCATTTCAATTTTGAATTTCGTTATATACTCATTCTCATATGGGATATATGACCAATCACCTTTTAATAGTTGCTCATATAAATTTCGTTTAAATTTAATGTACAATACATGTTCTTTAATTTTTAGATGGACTTCATGTTCATTTGTACAATGGTTAATGTTTAAATTATAATAACTAAAACTAAAGATAAATTACCAATTTGATTATGGAATCGAAACATCAATTACCAATTAATATTGCTTATTTCATTAATTAACACTGTTATTCTGTGAATTTTGACTATGAAATATAATCTATCATATATGTTCACTTTAGGTGGAGTTCATGTTCAATATTCAAATTATAAATTACTAAAATTAAATATATATATATATATATATATATATATATATATATCAATTTGATTTACGGAATTAAAACGTGAATTATCAAGTAATATAATATTACTTATTTAATTTCTTTAATTAAAATAGTTATTTGATGAATTTCAGATAGTAAATTTAAGCTATAATAATGTTCATTTTAAATGAAATTTATGTTCACTTGTAGAAGGAATAATATTCTTTAAAGACAAATTATCAATTTGATTAATGGAATTGAAGCATAAATTATTCATTAGTACAACTTAATTCTTTAACTTAAACTATTATTTGGTGAATTTTGGCTAGTAAATTAAATCTATCGTAAATATTCATTTTAGATGGAGTTCATTTCATTTATGGTCATTTTCATATTAATATATTTTTTAATTAAATTTAATACATGTTTATTCTCATATTGAAGGATATTCATTTAAAATTTGATACATGTTCATTTTCATATTAAAAGATGTTTATTTGCAATCTAATACATTATTCATCTTCATATATAAACATGTTCATTTAGTTTAATACTTGTTCATTCTGGCATAAAAAGATATTTGTTTTAATTTTAATACTTGTTTGTTATCATATTGAAAAATGCTCAATTAAATTTTAATATTTGTTCATTCTCTTATTGAAAGATGTTGGTTTGACTTATAATATTGTTCATTTTTATATTAAAAGATGTTCATTTAGATTTTAATACTTGTTCATTCTCATATTGAATTATGTTCTTTCTAGCAATGTGTTCAAATTAGTATTTGTAAATGTTTATTTAATTATTCTGTTTTGTTTATAGTGTGTTTTGATTGTTATTAACATTTTATTTTAAAAAATTTGATCTCTTGTTACACAGAATGATGAAATAAAAAAGTTTAAGATGATAATGTATATATTGAGAAAATATATATATCAAGAAAAGCACACAAACAAGTTGAAGGGATACAACCATACAACAAGGAGGATGATTCTATATACCTTTTATGTACTAAATCAAGAGACGATGTTCATTTTGTAAGACACATATGTGATATGTACATTTTTCAAGTTTAAATTTATGTTTTTCTTATAATTTTTATTTTTAATTTTTAAATTTAGCATATATACATTTGAAAAGGTTAAAAAAAGTTCCAATTTATGCTTAAAAAACAATGAGTATATATTAATTTTAAATAATATTATAATTCTAATTGAATTACTTCTATTCAATTAACTAAATAATAAGACAAATTGATTAAAAAAAACTATCTAAAAACAAAATTGGAAAAAATTATAATACTTTGAATATAGTACGTCGTAGTAACAAAACTGAACATTTAATGATATAAAATTGAACATTTACACATATGAAAATGAACATTTTACATCTGATCCGAAACCGAAAAACTATAAGATGACGTCATTATGAAGGAGAGGGGGTGCAAGTTGTACTGCCTACATACGAGTGTAGGCAAAAATTTGTACTCCAGATGAGACGAAACTTGCTTACTTACCAAAAAAAAAAAAGATGAGACGAAACTTGTGTCCCTTGATTTTCAGGCTAAGGAACACACTGGTGGAGTTGATTTGCAAGTTGGGGCTTGGAAACTATGTTGGGGCCTACATAACTATTTATGCTAAATTTTGTCAAGTGGGATTGAATAGCAAAATCTAGGTTACAAATCAACTAAATAAAACCTTGAATGAAAACAATAATGAAATAAAGAAAAGACACAAGGAATTGGTGACGCGGAAAAACCAAAAGAGGTAAAAACCGCGGGTAGAATAAGGAACTACCAAACTTTCGCTATGTAAAATATTGAACGAAAGGGTTACAATGTATGATCAATACGATTTTTTGTAGCTAAGTTGCCGTGTCCTTCGAATGATGCAACTCGGCCCTTTTTATAGACCCTCTTCTTGAACTCTAGCTAGCCGTTTGATGATAAGATCAAGTCCCTAGTTTTTCGGCAACTAACTCCCACTCTCCTTACCCCTCTAACTTCCCCTGCTTATCATATGTAGACCAAGTCTCAGGGCTTATCACCCCCATGTTCGTAGGAAATCTGTTGCACCCTATGCCATGTCACATGCCACTTCGTCCGCTGACCTCTACTCTCGTCGTTGACTCCCGTTGATTTGACTATACGAATTTTACCCCTCACAATTTGTCCCTAATTGCCTAAGGTGGGCAACTATGTACAACTTTTGGCAATTCAATCTTTATAAATGCAATGATATAAAAAGGAAAAAAACTGAAATGCAAAATTTGAAAAAAAAAACCATGTAATCTAGAATGTAGGGCCATAGATGTAGCCCACGTCACGTATTACTTCAAGAAGTTATTTCAACTTCCCACTTATCCCATTGACCGTCATTTCGCATTTAACCCTCCTTTTATTACCGCCATGCGCTTTTACCTTCCTAAGAATTACTGCTGCCTGTACTCTCTTTCTCCCTTCTTTCTCTTTCTAGCAAAATTTCAAGAAGATTCCGGTGGAACTGGGAGCGGCGACGAGCGGCGCTACTTCACATCTGGCCTTAGGCGACTTCTATCGATAGGTAATTCTTCCAATTCTTTGTTTACTTAGTTAATTTTGAGAAATGTCAAGTAGAAATCCGAAATTTAGATCTAGGTTTTCACTTTGAGTTGTTGAGAAGAAAAGAATGGTTGTTTTAGAGGAGAAATCGATGGGTAAACCGAATTCGGCGATGACTCCTAACATGATGGCGGGTTTCATGGAGTTGGCTGGGTTCCGTGAAACACCATTCGCTCAAATTCCAGGTAAAGCGAAGAAGCGGAGAACTGCCCAAAGGGTTTTGTGGTCTTTTTAGGAATCCGTTTCTGGAGACCGGGGCCATTTACCTTTTTAGGCCCTTAACTAGGGCATTCTTGGAAGTACTGGGGTTAAGCCCTAGTCAACTAATGCCGTCGACATGAAGGATTTTATCGGTGTTGGAAGAGGTGATGAAGGATTGGGAAGAATCATTTACTTTGGAAGATTTGGTTGAAGCCTATGAAATTTTGATGAGGAAGGATCGTCATGTTAGTCTGCACAAGAAGGAGGAGCAGTTGGTTTTGAATACCAACTGCAACGATAGAGGTTAGGCTCAGTATTTCGTCTTCGACAAAAAGACGTCATTGGGTGCCGAGGGAATGTGGTTAACTGATGGGTGGCCTACCAAGGGTAAGTAATCTATTGTTTTGTGATGAGGTTCTACTGCTAGTTTTACTTAATGTTTTATCTTGTGTTTGGGTCTTGCAGATCATGACATCGGATTCCTTCAACCCACTAACAAATCGTCGGAGAAAATAAAGGCTATTCTTGAAACGAATCACAAGAGAAGGACTTTTGAAAGGACGAAGCATCTGGTCGGCGAATCATCGGGGCGAAAGAACAGAGATCGATCTTCGACCCCTCAAAGAGTCGAAGATTTAGAGGAAACTATGTCTGCAAGTAAGTTGCATTTCGTCGTCGTTGTCCTATTGTTCGTCGTAAGTGTCTTAACACGTTTTTTCTGGTGTGCAGTTCCAACGGGATCTGCTGCCTCTAGCGAGCGTCGTCGTCGTATTATGACTGAGGCCGAGAAGGAGGAAAGGTATAGGAGGAAGCGGGGTGTATCGTCTCAAGATACGACGCTTGTGCAAACTGTGATAGGACAGCGCAACTTCAGACATCGACGCCTCAACAGGTCGTCGATCTGGAAGTGCCAATTCCTCCACCTCAAGCTCCACCGGCTAAGCAACAAAAGGTTGATAATGCCCCTGCAGGTGAAGAGTTGGTGATGCGTTTCCCTGCTGACTTCCTAAGTTTTGGCAAGGAGGTGAAGCAGCCAATGTTTCCTCGCTTGAACCAGCTGTTGTTTCTTGGTTCTCGCGAAGGCTGCGCTGATGTGTCTACTCTGGAGATGGCGTCAGAAGGTGCTTCTATGCATCTTTACGTAAGCTTTACTTCCTCTTTCTTTTTTATCTTTTTTGGTTTTGGCTATCTGCTGTTGGGTGTTGTTAAGTAGTTTGGACATGTATTTTTTGGGGTGTTCTGGCAGTGTTTGCAAAGCTCTTTGATTTTAAGGGAAAGGGTGATCGAAATGATGAAGGAGATCAAGAAGTTGGAGGAGGCTATGAAGAAGAGTGATTTTGCTGCATCATTTGTGAAGAAACATATTTGGTTTTGAAAAAATAGTTCGACGAGGCCAAAAGGCACTCAAACGATCTTTCTAAGCAACTGGACGAAAAGGCTAAGCAGTTGAATGAGCAGACTAAGGAACTGGAGGATAAGGTTGTGATCATTCAGGATCAGGACAATGCCTTGGCAGAAAAAGAAGAGCAACTGCTGTCGGCTCCGAAAGATTTGGAGGATGCCCTGGACGAAAGCGCTGAAATGGAGCTGAAAGTTAAGGCTAAACTAATGAAGGAGTATTTGGATGGGAAGAGTTCAGCTTGGCGTCCTCAAGAGGATGTGAATCGTTTCCTCGCAAATGGGGGAACCCTTGCTGAACTCGGATTTGATGCTGCCACCACGTCGACAGCTGATTCTAAGCCTAATCCAGTGAACGTTGTTCATCCTTCAGCATCTGATATTTTTGCGGAGATTCTCGGAGGTGAAGCTGTAGGGGACAACGCTTCCGTTGCTGAGCTTTCGAAGGACGACGACGTCGAAGACAATGTTGCTGTCGACAAGGCTGCTGATGTCGTCGGAGGAGGAGTTGATGCTTGAAGGCCATCGCTTGTGGTGGTTTTGAATATTTTTGTGTATTTTGCATAAACTTTGATGCTTTTCACTCGTTTTCTGTTTGGATACTTTTGTCTTTTATTCCACTTGATGGCAAGTGGTTCTTTTTTAACATTGTTATGTCTTTGTAGGTGATGTTTGTCCTGTTGTTTCACTGTGTTTCTCAGCTCTTGTTCTGCATAATGTTAGATGCTTAAGAATTCAAAAGATAGTAAGCAGGGTAAAATAAAAATTTAATTAATTTAAACAAGATAAATTAAGTAGGAGCATTCGTTTGAAAAATAGACGTTTGTTGGAATAAGACAATAAGAATAGAGTCACTAAAAAGAGGAAAGTAGAAAAAACTTAGAGAATTTTTATCCAATTTCCATTGTACAAAGTATTTATCGAAGACTCTATGTAACATATGTATACTCGAGTTTAGGCCTTCATTGTTTGCCAATGCCCCTTGCGCCCCAGCTTGGACGCTGAACACTGAAGACTAAGCTTCGACCTTCTTTTCCAAAGGATCTCTTGCTTCTTCCGGGATGGTAGGATCACTTGACGACGCCTTCGCAATTATTTTAGTTGCAGAATAAGTTAGACCACAAATATCTGAACCACCAGAAATAACATTAACTACTATCGTAGGTGCGGGTGGTTTGGGGGGCTTACTCGTCGAATCAGCTTTGGCGTCACTGCCTTTCTTCTTGCCCATCAGATGCTTGTGGTTGCCTAATATAGTGATTATTGATGTGACATGACATAATTAGAAAAAGTTACACATGGACCTGTAGACACCTACTTTTGGCCTCCTGTCCCAACGGGAAGTGCGATGATGTTACAAAAACTCGTTCTTCCTGCTAGATCAAAGTTGAGGTGTTTATGGACTCCGAAATGCATTATTATGAAGTAAGTTAAAACTCGTATTTAAGACTAAATTATCTTAGAGCCTAGTCCGATTACTAATTAGGCCTAAAACGTGTTCACACATGTTTAATCTTGATTAATAACGGACCTAAATGCGTCAAATGCAGTGATTGGATCGAATGGATCTAAAAATGTTGAAAACCGAGAAGTAAGAACAATTAACTAAATAATATATGTTCAAGGCCTATACAGCTAGATAACCCTTTCAAAGAGCTTTCCAACGGTATATTATAAGCCCAATTCCGAGTTAAAACGAAGAAGTTATCAACAAAATACTAAACTGGGCCTTAAAACCAACACTCTTGCACTCAAACCGGCATATCTTTAATCTATAATAGATTTTAACCTAATTCTAACAGCATTGGAAATTAGACACTCATAGCTTTTCAATTATATCTTATTTGCCTTAATCCGACTTCATAATCAAAAGTTATGGAAGTTTTAAAAACGTATTTTTGTATAAGGCAAATTGCACCGCGCGCAACCTCCAAAGGTGCGCGCTTCAGCCACGCGCAAGTCATAGAGTTGCGCTCGCCACTCCAGCGCGATTTTGAGAGTTGTGAGCGCCTCCTGACGCCATGGCTCTAAAACCCTAAACCTAGATTCCTACGCCTTTAAATAGTGATCTTCGTTAGCCCTAAAGAAAAGAGAATAAATCAGAATTAAAACCCTAGAATTCTAAAAACCCTAATCTCTCAAGTTCTCTATTACTATCATACTACTTTTCCACTCTCTTCCCAAATACAATTCAACCCTAGTATACTCTTTTGAAGTCCTTGGAGGTACGAAGAAGGAGGGAAGTCCATAAATGCCCAAAACGGAGATCTAGCAAAATGGAGAATAGTTAGTTTCCTGAGCACTTAGTTAAATCACTTTTCCTTTCTTGTTTAAATAACTTTAATCAATTAATTAGTGTTTTTTATCACATTAAATAAACTCTAATTAATTTATTTACATAGCATTCTTTCTTTAACTAAAGACTAGAAATTGAATAATTAAATTATTGTTTTATCACCTAAGTCAAGGCGAATCTTGTTTTATTTCTTGTTCTTTTCACGAATTTGAATTAAAAAAGAATAACAACATTCGTTGCAATGTAGAATTCTTGTGATTAATGTTAGTAAATAAAATCAACTAACTTAGTTTTTAAGAATCGCGTTGCATATATTATTTGGTAATAAAATTGTGAAAAAGAAAGAGCTAGTAGAGGCCGCACTAGGGCTAGGATTGCCATTCTCAAAGAGAACGTTTTTCTAGTACCCTCGCTCCCGAACTCATTTCTGGTTTAGTAGACCAATTTGGGCATGGGTAAACTTATGATTCATGCTAATTATCCCTTGAATAATACTTGGGAGAAAGGTATGAACGAGGTTTATGAGTTTTCCTAAAACTCATTGGCGACACTCTATTGGTTTCTTATATATATATATATAAAATAAAAAAAAGTAATGACTGACTCAATTCTAATTCAAGGTTTTCCAAACAGTAAAAAATTCAAATCCTAACACACCCTAAAAGGTGTAAAGTCCTAGGCTTTTAAAGGAAGGGCATAGAGGAAATGGGATCCCTAACGACGGGCTACCCTCCTCACAGTGGCGACTCCACTGGGGACTTAGAGGTTACAAGATTAGCTTTTGGTTATGGTTCAAGGTTGCCCACTTAGGTTACTTATGAGTTGTAATGAAAGGCTAATTTTAATCTCTAGTTAGAGAGTGAGACTCGAATGCATAATATCTTCCTTTTTCACAAAAGTAAAAACCAATTAAGCTACATTGCATCATGCATAATCATAACACACTTTAAATAATGGGGATTGGCTCATTGACTAGGGGTCGCCAACACCAGGCTTCTACCTTGAAATCAATAACAATAATCCCACCCATATTGAAAACAAAATGTTGGAAGAACCATGCCATGAGTCAACACGTTGAGTGATTGATTCGTGCATCATTCATAAGATTGGTACCTTTGGACACCCAAGCCTTGACCATTGACCTTAGAATGACATTGTATGCTTTAAAGGCTTCATTCCTCATGTTTATGTGCTTATGTGACTACATGACTATATGCTTTGTGTTTAGTTTAATAAATCTCCAACTTTTTACCTAGAGATATTAAAAAAAATCGCAAAAAAAAAAAAAAAAAAAAAATCGCATGTGGCAGGCGCAACTCTCAAAGTTACACTCTCCACCTTAGCGCAAGACGGAAAATTGCGCGCGATACTGTTTTCTATTATGATGATTCGCTTACACACTTTTTAATCGAACTAATGACATTACTTTTTAAAAAGTTTTTCATTAGAAGTTCGCATCCCCTAATAGGACGTCATCAATATTCCCATCCCTAAACGTGCCTATTTTCGTGGTCGTCATCTTTTAGTTATAATTAATTAATGTTGATTTAAGAGTATAGTTTATTGTAACTCTTCTATTGTTTAAAAAGAAAATCCCGAGAAACTCACTTGGGATAATTGCCTCAAAAAATAAAAAAATAAAATAAAAAGGAGGGAGCAAAATTTTTTTTGAGAAATCCTTCTATAAAAAAGGTATGATACAAAAGGAGAAACTAAAAAAATAAAGAAATTTCTCAACAAAAAAAAAAGAGAGAATAATGAATGATAAGTCCGAGAAATTGATTTAATTATTTCTTGGATTTTACGTTCGGAGGCAACCATTCTATTTAAACCAGTAGTAATTATCCTTTAAAGATGAGCAATATGAGAATCTAAAAAAACATTAATTAATAAAGATTTCTATTGTAATCTAAATGATCAACAAGTATTACATTCTAGTATATTGATTATTTTAAGGAGTTTATTTGGGTTGATTAATTTTTCTAAAAATTGAGCGTCTTCAATCCAACTTTCCTTTTCTTTCTCTTCTATCTTTTTCGAAAACAGTTCACTTAAAGTAAAATCCTTAGATGATTACCTTGTTGAAGTCAACACAAATCATGACATTCCATTAATGATTGTTCGTGAATTTTTTGACATTCTTCATCAACAAACTTGTTTAAAGTGAATTCGTTTTGAAAGGATTTAACAAAAAACAACATTTTTTTTTACTTTTGTTCATTGTTTGAATGCTTGGTAGAAAAGTTCTTAAGTGAACGCGCTCAATTTCTCGTGATACAGATTAGCATATCATATTCCACATTCGCATCCTAGTTCAATCATGGGTGAAAAAGCAGCATTGGAGAAACTTAGAGAGGAACTACAAAACCTAAAGGCCCTACGAGAAGAAGAAGTCCAAATGAAGGCTCATAGAAAAGCAGAAAAAGGCTAAAATAAATGCAGAGAAAGAAAAAGAAAAACTTCTGCAAGAAAAATCAAGAGCCAAAAGACTAGAGGTCTTGGAGAAACTTGTCCTTCGAGCTACCTCAGGGACTAAGTTCTTCAATTATGAGCTTGCACCACAACCTAGTGGCAAGACTCTCCCAAATTAGTTCTTGACTACGAATTTACCAACCTCTAAGGTTACGGACAATCCTAGGAATCACTTAATGAGCTTTCTTAAAATGATGGCATTGAAAGGGGTCGAGCATAGCTTATATACATGTACTTTCCCTCTTTAATTGGACCCAACTGCTAGATCATGGTTTTATAACCTCGATGTAAAACAAACTTCCACTTGGGAGGACATTGTAAAAGCGTTTCTAGCCCAATATGGAGATAACATTGAGCTCACAACTACCTTGCACGACCTTGAATTACTCAAGCAAGGGGATGAAGAAGGCTTTATTGACTTATTTTCCAGGTGGCGATCTAAGGTTGCTCTTCTTTCACAAAGACCTCCGAATCATGAACTTGTCCCAAAATTCACAGATAACATCTCTCCACCATACAAGTGTCATTTACAATACCTTGGTTTAGACACATTTTGTAAAGTCTATACTGTGGGAACATTAATTGAAAGGGACTTGATAAATGAAACCATGAATCATATAGATGGACTAGATTTTTAGAGAGGATCTCTCCTATGTTTGAAAAGGACAAAGCTCAAGAAGTTGTCAACAATTCAAGATGTAGCACCCTAGGTCTTGTTTTGTTTCTTTCCTTTTTGTTTTCTCTATGATATACTAAGAGGTTCATGTTGTCGAATCTACTTGTTATGTACTCTCATTAAATAATGAATAAAAATTTTATTTTCAAGTATGTCTATCTTATTCTCTTTTTAGTCACTTTGTTGTTATTAGCTCGAATTGAATAAAATACACATACAAATAGGCAATATCAAAAAAGGCATA